CTCAAAATAGCTCCCGTAAACAAAATTACGAGAGCTCTTTTTTTCATACAAAATCTAAAAAGAGCTCTCGTAATAAAAAAAGTATTTTTTAGGCTGCTTGGTACATATCATTTATCATTATCACTATCCATAACCATAATTTTCATGCATGTTTCATGCTTTCATACATTTGTATAATTATAGTTTAATAACATTTTATTTTCAGATATAGAAGACATGACTCACAAGACAGGAAACTTTAAACAGTTTAATATATTTGTTAGTATGTTGGAGTCAGCTTTGGTGAAAGTAAGTCAATTACAATACACAGTGAAATGCAACTTTGACATGAATTGATATTACTACTAGATATACATGCCTTTGGAGGTTTAGGAACATTTTCTTCTTTTTCAACTCTGATATGTGCATAGTAGGCCTAATCCTCATATAGCATACACATTTTTATTTTCATTCAATATAACGACAAATAAGCCTGCATTGCTATTGTGGTCTTTGCAGAATACGGACAGTGTAACACTTGATCTGCTAACTCATGCAGACCTGGAGACGTTACGGAGTCGGAAGGTTACCGTCCAATCACAAGGCAGCTCAACCCGTAGTGTAACAAAGAATAAGCGCTACCTAATACTCACGTATACAGTGGAGTTTGACAGGTCTGTTAATAGTTAATAGTTCAATATGTAGTTCAATATAGTTCATTCAGTCTGTTATGTAGTTCAATATGTAGCATATGATCATATATATTTACAGTGTTTCCCCTGGCCAAAAAGGTCTGTGAGGTGGTAAATTTTTGTTTGGTGTGTTTCGCGCTTCGAGGTCCTAGCAAAGCGAGGGCACGGGGGTACCCCCGGAAAATTTGTGAAAAAATGGTGCAATTTGGTGCATTCTACACTATTTTGGTGCAGTAATTATAAGCACTGTTCTATGGAAGAACAATGATTTTCATCAGCGAGGCGGTGTTTTGAACAAATTTCTGTGTGGCGGCTGAGAATTGAGCGAGGCGGCCCGCCTCGCTCGTGTCAATGCAGGGGAAACACTGTATTTACTTATGCACATACCAGGAGACCTTAGTGTAGACACCATTTGAAATGACCCACAGGAAAACTTGGCTATTTTACATATTCTTTATAAAAATACCTGTTGTAGTGTTTTCTGAAGGTACACAAAACACCATCTTATTTCATACACATTTAATTGGCAGTGCTGAATTAATTTTTCAATTGGCAAGTGCGACCAATTAACTGTGCAGACAGTGTGGTGGTGTTTTTACGTGATATTAACAAGCTCCCAAACTGGGTTTAATCAGGTCATATGAAAGAATGTAATTCTGTTTTAGAAGCTTACTATAAGTATAACTCAGTTTAAGGCAAAAATTGAATTTAGGTAAAAGGTGTATTGTCTTTTTAGTTTCTTATATCATCATAATTCAAAGATCAAAAATAAAGCCTATAAACGAGCTATAGGCTATTGATCTAAATACTGTTGACACCATTCACTGGAGTGCAATGCTATATGATGTTCTGAAAAACTGGGTCTGTCCACTTGTGCTATTTTGTTCTAAAATGTGAGTGTCTGAACCTGTTTCCCAATAATTTCAGAATTCATTATCCTTTGCCATTGACTTACCAAGGAAATGCTGACCCAAAGAGACTTCAAAAGACTGTGCAAAGTTTGAGGACTGAACTTAAAGATTTGAGACAGGTGTGCTGCGAAAGCAAGTTAGTTTTCGATAGAAACTCCACAATTTAATCTTATCATGGGCATCATAATGAAACTAGTGAATGCAAAATACCATGGTAGGCTGATTCTGTGAGTTTGATTGACTGAAACACAGTTTGAATAAATGGCGAGAGATACATGATGCGCACATTTTAAATAATTGAACTTTTATAAACCTTTAAGCATACATACAAACAAGGCTAGTAGCCGCTAAACTTTAATAAAGCCCTCCCTGACATCATTGGTCCAACATGCTGATCTGGTACCCATATAAAAAAGTGGATTGACACTGTGAGTTCTTCAGTACACGAATGTCGGTGGCAGTGCCCTACCTCTGATTATGACGATGTAGAAGTATGTGTTTAATACGTATTTTCAGCGCCATGCGGCTGCATCGGCATTAGAGACTGACCTGAGAAAGCTACAGAGAGAGTAAGCAGTTTACAATTGATTGATGTCTGCCAAGCATGTAATGTGAAAATATCCTCAAAATTTGCAATGAGAATTCCCAAAAACTGCAAGCTATGAAGATTACAATAGGAAGGTCTGTCAAATATTGTGATAAATCATTCAGGCATCACTTAAATTGAATGGGGTGTACAAGGAATGTAAAATTCTGGTTGCTCACATATTCCTTAATATATTGTAGTAGTAACTTGACATCAGTAAGCAGAAAATGTTTTTTAAGGAACTTAAGGAACTTAATTGTAGTGATGTCCCGGTGATCGATTATAATCGAAAATCGATCGATTATAGTCTCAAATTCGATAATCGATTATGAAAACAAATAATCGATTATCAAAAATACCAAAAAAAAATAATAATGATAATTTTTTAATT